TAACACAATGGACGATTTCATCCTAATCTTCCATAGATTGAAACTAGAACCGCCGCCAAATTTCTCTACTTCTCACTTTGTTAAAGATGACGAAGATATCTTAACCCTAGATTATATGTAGAAATCCGAACCTTGCTCTGATGCCAATTACTGCAGAAGATCGTTGATTAACTAGCGCACAATCACACACAAAGCAAATAGAGAAGAAAAATCATCACAAGGTTTTAACGATGTTCGGCTAAGCCTAATCCTCGGGGCAAAAAGCAGAGGGTTTTCCACTACGAATGAGAAGAAAAGTACAATGTAATCTATAGAACCCCTAACTACAGATTATTAGTCATTGGGAGTCTATTGAACTCTAAAATTGACTACAGGGCTTCTTTTCTTTTGTGAAACCCCCAACGGTAATATAATTCTCACGAGTAACCCACACGCTCCACCTCATGGACCCGACGGATGGAACCATTTCAGTGCGTCTGGGTGGGCAAAACACTGTTACCACACATGTGAAGCAAACCACTGAAGCAATCGACGGAGAAATATCTTATGCAACCACAATCACAACTTCCCCAAGATCATCTGTATGTCCTACCCGCCATGAGCGAGAATCAGCGATTGCAACAAATACCACCCACAATGGTATGCTGATAGTCATGTTCAAAACATCGGACTATTATGGCATCATGGCAACCGAATGCAAATTCACATTTGTTGGCAGTTTTATCAAACCTCGTCCCCAAATAGACCGTATTATGTCTAAATTTAAGGAATTGATCTCATTAAAAGGATCGACCAAAATTGGGGTGTATGATAACTAAAATGTCTTTCTTGACTTCACTAATGATGAAGATTTCTCCATGGTTTGGTTCAGACGAGTCATCGAGATTGAGGGCCAGCAGATGTGGCTTCAAAAGTGGTCACCAGACTTTAAACAGGAGGAAGATCTCCCAATTGCTCCGGTATGGGTACTTCTTCCTGGCCTCCCTATTCATATGCATATATGGCAGTATGTAAAACAAGTGTTCAGTTCAATTGGTACTCCTCTCGAAATGGATTTGGCAACTAGGGGCAGAACTAGGCCAAGTGTGGCTAAAGTAAAAATTGAAATAGACTTGCTAAAACCAAAACCAGAATCTGTGTATGTGGGACAAATATATGACAATACACCTCAAAAAGGATTTGTAAAAAACTCGAATATGAAGGAATACCAAAGTATTGTAAATACTACAAGAAATTGGGGCACAACCTGTTAAATTGTCGGGCCATTGAAAGAATGAAAGTTGCTGAGGAAAGGGAACCTGAGATCAAGAGAAGTAAAGAAACTGTTGAAGCTGAACTTACCTCATCCAAAGATGAAGGAAATGTCCAGGGAACTATGGATGACAGTAACATCAAGGGGACATAGCAAAAGTCGAACATGCTTCATAGCTACAAAGATGTCAAACAAACTGAAGCGAATGGGAAAATTCAAAATTAAGAAGCTATTCAGAGAGATGTGGTCATCCAACACAAATAGAAGATGGAAGAAGTCCAAGACATTGAAGTTAGAACCTCCAAGAAAAAGAAGAAAACTAGCAAATAAAAGAAGCTTCCCAAAAAGAAATCCAATGTGATCTTCAAACCTATGTCGTGTTAAGCTAGTGGCTGAGAAAAAATAAAGAAAAACAAGGTTGAACATGCCATCCGACTATAACAACAAGAGCAAGTAAGGAAGGAGATACTAATATTTATGTGAACCAAGAGACAGGAAACAAAGAGGAAACTTGTGAAAACAATACTAACAATGATTCCAAGGATTGCTACAACTTAAATCAAGCAAACAATGCTTCTGATGTGTTAGAGGATATAGTGCAAGAATCTACCAACATTCAGGGGAACATGGCTCATGAAAAGGGACAAGCTCATAACGATCTAACTAAAGACCTCACAACAAATGAGGGATCAGTTAGCATACCTTCAGAGATCAATGCAATGCCAGGAATTAATATGGTGGTTCAACTTGAGCTAGAATCTTCACAATCATCGACAAATAAAGAACAACCCAGGAAGGAAACAGATCAACATATAGAGGTTAATTCTCCAAATAAAGTCATAGTGAGGATTTCCGAGGATCAGATACAAAGTGCTCAAAGAAACCATGAAGACAATGATGGTTTCTCCCTGGTCAAAAGGGTAGGAACAAAAACAAAAAGATCGGAAGGAAGACAAAAGACAAACTGAACTCTTCAATTGTGGAAAGGAGTACAAACTAATATTCTTGTTTACATGATTAATTCCATCTTTTGGAATATTAGAGGTGTGAAATCAGATATAGCCATTCTTAGGCTAAAAACTCATCACCTTGTATAAGATGGAACTTGTTGCTATTTTTGAACCTTTTGTTAGCATGAACAAGATTGACAGATACATGAGATTCTTAGGTTTTCAACACTGTGTGCCCAACACGAATGGTCAAATTTGGTTTCTTTGGTCTAGCAACTACCAAACCAGAGTGATTGACAATAATGACCAACAACTTACAATCAAGATGCATTACAACCCTGCAAATTGTGATATATACCTCACAACAGTATATGCAAAATGCACTGCTACTGAAAGGAGAGATCTTTGGAGCATTTTGGAAAATACTTACATGCAAATCAAAGGTGCTTGGTGCATTGGGGGTGACTTCAATGTCATATTGGATCCAGATGAGAAGAAAGGGGGAAATCCTCACAGAATGCACAAAAGTTTTGAGTTTAGTAGTTATATGGATAATTGTGAGGTTGCGGATTTGAGGTTTGTTGGCCCTAAATTCACTTGGTGCAACAACTAGAAAGCTAGGAAAAGGATTTGGAAGAGAGTCGGCAGAGTTTTTGTAAATAATCTATGGTCCCAACTATTCTAGAGTAACATGGTCAAACACCTTGCTAGGACTGGCTCAGACCATAGGCCACTTCTCATTTAGTGTCGGAAGGACCTTCAATTGATATCAAGTATTTTAAATTTCTTGACTTCTGGCAGGTAACCATCATCAATGAAACTGGTGGAAGAGGTTTGCAGCATACACATTCCTTGAAATTCCATGTGGAGGCTACAACAGAAATTGAAGCTCATTGGTAAGGAGCTCACTCAATGGTCGAAAGAAGTTGTTGGGAATTTTTTTTATCAAGTCAACACCTGGAAGCTAAAATGCTAAATATAGAAGAGCTAGACACTCTTAATAATAATTATTAATCCAGAGAAGAGCTCAATAAGGGGTAAGCTGAATATATCAAGTGGTTGGGTATGCAAGATGCTCTTCTAAGACAGAAAGCTCAAGAAAAATGGTTTGACGAAGGGGAGAATAACACCAAATACATCCATAGCTTAATTAGAAACAGAAGAAGAAGACTTCAAATTCACAAAATCAAGGATCACAGAGGCACATGGGTCCAAGGACACCATAACATAACTAAGGTGGCTGTTAATCACTTCCAACACTTTTTTTATCTCCAGCACCAATTCAGGGATCACGATATTCTTAACTATATCCCAAGTTGTATCGATGAGGAAGATAATGGTCTTCTCAATGCTATTTCAGATGATGGGGAAATTAGAAACTCCATCTTTAGTATGAATGCTTCAAGTGCAGCTGGCTCGAATGGATCTAACGGTACTTTTTATCAAAAGTGCTGGAATATTTTCAAGTATGACATAATAGACTTTGTGCAAGACTTATTCAATGGCAAAGGCATGACCAAATTCTATACTTACACATGCCTGATTCTCATTCCCAAAGTTGATTCCCCAACAAGCTTCTCAGAGTTCAGGCCCATTAGTTTGAGCAACTTCTCCAGCAAAATTATTGCTATGATCCTATCTAGAAGGCTGAATCCTATGCTAGAGAAACAAATCTCCAATAATCAGAGTGGTTTTGTCAAAGGCAGGATAATTACAGAGAATGTGCAATTAGCACAAGAAATTGTTAATAATATAAAGCAGAACAACAACGGAGGTAATGTGGTTATCAAGCTGGATATGACTAAAGCCTATGACAAAATGTCTTGGAATTTTTTAATGTCCGTCATGAGGAAATTTGGTTTTTCAGAAGCTTGGATTGATATACTGTGGAGATTGGTAAATGAAGTGTGGTATTCTATCATGATTAATGGTACTAGAAAAGGCTTTTTTACATCATCGCAAGGTCTCAAAAAAGGTGACGCACTATCTCCTTCCTTGTTTATTATTGGCCTTGAGGTACTTTCCAGATCCTTAAACAAACTTGCTACACATGACAATTTCACGCCATTTACCATTGATCAAAGAGGTCCTATCATCACGCACCTTGCTCATGCTGACGACATAATGATATTCACTAGAGGAGATAAGAAGTCTATCAAACTCATTAAGAGTTAGATAAGAAGGTATGAAAAAGCATCAGGCCAAAAAGTGAACAATGACAAGAGATTCTTTGTTACTACACCAAACACCTCTGCTAGTAGAATTAACAGAATTAGAAGAGCTTCTGGATTTATGGACAAGTGCTTTCCTTTCAATTATCTCGAATGTCCGATATATCATGGCAGGAAGAAAATAAGCCTATTTGATGGCATATTAACCAAGATTGTGAAAAGACTTAATGGTTGGCAGGGGAAGATATTATCCTATGGGGGGAGATGGTCTTAATCAAATATGATCTTCAATACCTCCCTACTCATAAACTATCTGCTATGAGTTCACCCAAAGGCATCATCAAGCTTATGGAAAATCATTTCAACAATTTTTTCTGGGGGTCCTCTGAAGGAAAGAACAACTTTCATTGGGCTGCCTGGAATAGACTCTGTCTACCTAAGGATGAGGCTGGAGTGGGGGTAAGGAGAATGGAAGATATCATAGAGACACTCACTCTGAAAAAATGGTAGAGATTCAGGACACAACCATCTCTTTGGGCCACTTTTCTTAAAACTAAATATTGCAAAAGAGTACACTCAGTTACTGAAGTCCCTACTTCCTCTGACTCTCATATTTGGAAAAATCTGATGAAAGCAAAGATCAAAGCTGAGTCAAATATAATTTGGAAAATCCAAGCAGGCAACTCTAGTTTTTGGTGGGATAACTGGACTGGTAAAGGTGCATTGTCCACGGTCATTCAAGTACTTGGCAAATCTCCCAAGCTTCTTGTTAACAACTTTATTCATGATGGAGCCTGGGACACTAACAAATTAGCAGACATAATTCATATTCACCTTTTGGAAACTGTTACCCATGTTGGTATTGGCAATCAAAATCTTAGCGACTTCCCAATTTGGAATATAGTCGAGGATGGCCATTTCAATAATAACTCGGCTTGGATTTCAGTGATAATGAAAAAGTAGAAAAATAATTTCATTAGTAAGGTTTGGCATAATTCTAAACCTTTTAAAATATCATTTCTATCCTGGAGGTTAATTAAAAGGAGATTACCTTTTGATGATATTATTAAAAAATTTGGCACTAACATTGTTTCTAGATGTTCTTGTTGTACTTTGCCATAGGTTGAAACAATGAACATGTTTTCATTGGAAGTGTGCAGCAAAATTCACATGGAATACAGTTGGCATCTACTGGGGATAAAGCATCAAACGGAACATGTGTTGGCCACCTTCAAAAGGTGGTGGGAAACAAGCTCCAAGAACAAGGTGCACAACTTGATTTTACAAATAGCTCCAGTAATAATATGTTGGGAGATATGAAAACAGTGGACATTGTGTAAATATGATAACCAGAAGAAGCTCCAACTCAACATAATAGTACATCAAGCAATCTGGAATATCAAAGTTGCCATCTTGAAACTTATACCAACTTGGGACAACCAGTACCTTTGGCCAGCACTCTGTCAGAGAATTGAAAGATTGAAACCAATTCAAAGTTGGAAACAAGTTCTATGGTCGACACCAAATCATGGAGGTATCAAAGTTATTACCAATGGCAGCTACATCAGAGAAAGAAATAAAGCTGGAACGGGAGGTATCGTAAGAGATAGCCATGGTGATCTGATCATGGCATTCTCGATGACAGTTCATTATGGTAATAACAATATCGCGGAAACACTTGCTGCAGAGTTTGAAATAAAAAGGTGCAAACAACAAGGTTACACTAGTTTTGTTCTCAAACCGACTCTGTGGTGATTATAAATATGCTGATAAATAGGGACACCAACAATTTGAAAATCAAGCAAGTGATTGACAGAATGCTGAGCATCATACAACAAGCTAATGTGAGGGTGAACCATTGCTTCAGAGAAGACAATCAAGTTGCAGATTGCCTTGCGAAGTTGCCTTCTACCTTGGGCAATAGTATGACTATCAACTCATATCAACAGCTACCTAGAAGCACTAAAGGCTACTTGTTTTTAGATTAGTGGCAAATGCCGAGCATCAGAACCAAATATGACAAAGCTAATTTTTTTTTTTTAGTTAAGATGTATTTTTTGATGCCCAGAAGGAGAACCCTCTATACTTATCTCCTTCCGTTTCTTGGGTGATGGAATCACCAAGTTCTATTTTCTGAGGGTAAGGTCTAGCCCTCCTCATTGTACTTTTTGGTGAATACAACTCCACCTAGCATTGCAACTGGGTAATTGAAAGAAAAAAAAAAAACCAACTACAATCCCTTTGCAAATAGTCTCAAACCTATAAGAGAAAGATTTTCCAATTTGACAAGGACTATAGGTTTTCCTTTCCCAAATCTATTAGGACAATTGGTTTTCCTAAAACCTATAGAGTAAGGGTGTATTGTGGGCCGGGCCCAGCCCGGAATCGGCCCGAGACCGCGGGCCAAATGGGCCGGTCTCTAATGGTGCATAAGCCCGTAGCAGGCCGGTCCAACCCAAATAGCCCGTGAGCCCGGGACCGGCAGTCGGGTCTGGGCCGGTTTAACTGGGCCCAACGGGCCAAACGGGTCCCACGACTATTTTTGAAAAAAAAAGATTTTTTTTGAAAATGACCAACAGTTAGATTTTTAAAATCTAGACGTTGGCCTTCAATTTCCAACCGTTTGGGACTTTAAAAAATAGCCATTTGGCCCCCAAACTTTGTTTTAACCCAAATTTTATATAATTATAATTTTTCCCAATTCTCAACTATAAATACCCCCTCATTCTTTTATTTTTATTCAGAAATTCATCAATCTCTATCTAATTTTCTTCTATAATTGCTTACTTTATTATTGCAATTTCGTGAAAAATTGTGAAGTTAGTGAATTGAAGTATTCAAGTCTTCAACGATATTCAATTTTCAAGAAGTTGTTCGTCAATTCGGTAAACTCGTTCCAACTCTTAATTTTTAATAATATAGTTTTGTTTGTTTTAGTTTGTATAATTATAATTAATATGGCCTTTTCTTTGAAAAAAATATTTGGTGGTAAGGGAAAATCTAAAATTGGTGAATCTAGTCGCCAAGCTACTACTCTTCCCCCGGCTCCCCGACCCAGACCTATTACCTGTCCTCCTCCACCTGTTATTATTGATAGTGATAACCCTTGTTTTCAATTTTCTGATAGTTAATTTTGCCATGATGTTGCACCAGGTCAACAATTAGATGAAGAAGTTATGAATGCTCTTTATCCTAATCAAACAATCTTTGAAAATGATGATGTAGATGAAACACAACAGATTTAGATGATACACCTACTAGTCCTGTTAGTAACCCAACTTATGCCCCGCCTGACCCACCTGTAGTAACCCCTACTTTTAATAGACAGCCTACTAAACGCCCCGAAACATCACTTGTTTGGTACTTTTTTACTCAACTAAGAGAACAAAATAAGGCTAAGTGTAAAACTTGTGAGGGTTTGATGGCGCATAAATTTACTGGAGACCGTAGCGGTACGGGTAGTTTGACTAGACACATAAAGACACACCCTAGAGATAAAGCTAGATATTTTCAAATGAAAGCACAACTAGAGGGGAGAAGTGTAGATACTACGGTTAACCTTAGTACAGGTTCAAATCTAGTTCAACCAGGAATTAATACTGTCACCAGTGATATTTTATATTACGATCCAAATAAAGATCGTGAAGAATTAGCAAAAGTGGTTACTATTATGTGCTTACCCTATAGTTTTCCTTCTAACCCTCACTTTGTGCATATTAGAAGAGTTTTTAATCCTACTTATAAAGGTTGGCCTCGCGCAACCATAAAGAGCGATATTTATAAATATAAACATGATATGAACAATATTTGCGGTATTTATTTACTCATATAAATTGTTGGATTGCTATTACTACTGATATTGGTAGAAGTTGTAATGATTGTGATTATCTAACTATTACAAGTCATTGGATAGATGAGGAGTGGATAATGCAAAAGCGCATTATTGTTTATAGAATAATTAATTCACGCCACACAGTTAAGTTTATTGCTAATACAGTTGCAGATATTTGTAGATATTTTTGCATTAGAGATAAAATAATTTCAATTTCTATGGATAATGCTTCTAGTAACACTAATGCTATAGGCTTACTTACAACTACACTAAATATTGCATTTAGTAATTGTTTCCATGTTAGATGTGTTTGTCATATTTGCCATTGAATCGTCGGTGATGGTATGAAAATTTTAAATTTGGAAATGGAAAAGGTTAAAATGGCTCTTAATTGGCTTTTTTATTCAAACCGTAGAAGTAGACTTAGAGAATATTTTAAAAAATGTGATGAATTTGGCCTTAATGAAAGAAAGGTTCCTAAAGCTTATCCAACTAGATGGAATTATATGTACGAAAGTTTAGTTGTTGCATATGAATATAGAAACCCAATAAATGCAACGTTTAATGTTCGTGTTGGTGGTGAGGATGATGATGAACTCCTTACAAGTCAAGATTGGACGAATGTTAAAATTCTTATAGATTTTTTAGAACAATTTCATATTGCTACAAATGCATTTTCTGGGCAATATTATCCTACTATTTCAAACTGTTTAGTTTATATTGCAGCACTATGTGATTTGTTCAATTTTTAGGGGGTGGGGTAATTTATCAAGTTGCTATAACTGCAATGAAAGAAAAGTTTAAAAAATATTTTTTCCCTATCCCCCTTATTTATGGTGTTGCTGCCATGTTAAATCCTACCATGAAATTAGGACGCCCTCATTTTTGGTATTCAAATATTTATAGGGCTTTAGATCTTTCAGATGAGGAATTAGCTACACTTGCAGATGCAAAAGCCTCAATTAAAATAAATGCTCAAACAATTTATAATGCTTATCAACAAGCCTTAGATCATGCTAGACCACATGTTCCAATTCCTACTTCGTCTAGTTCGCAATCATCTAAAAGAAATGCGGGCCTAAAAACACTTAGTTCTTGGACGGATTTTAGGGGTTCTCAAGGTGATAATATTGATGATACTTCACATCTAAATGAGCTTCAAGTTTATTTGTCGCAGGGCCTTGAAAAGGAGAATCCAGACGGCACCTTTGATCTTTTAGAATGGTGGAAGGCCAGAGAAAAACACTTTTCGGTTCTTGCAAGGATGGCTCGAGATATTTTATGTATTCAAGCTTCAATAGTGGCATCAGAGAGCGCTTTCAGTCAAGCGAGACTTCAAATAGGTGATCATAGAGCGTCTATGAGGGAGAGCTTGGAAAAATCAGTACTCTTCAGAGATTGGATCCGTTCGGAAAGAAGAAATTTTGGACTTGCTGAATCACAACCGGAGATAGACGAAGCTTGTGAAGAAATGATAGCGGAACTTGCGGAGGATGCTGTTTCGCCCGGGAGCAATGATGAACCAGCTTCTTTTCCGCCACCACCAACGGAAATTCCTCAGAACCTTGAAGGTTTTATGAAATTTGTTAGAGATACAATGTAGACTAATATGTAACTTGTACTTTGGCACATCTTCTTTAGTTTTTTCTCCTTTTAATGGTGGTATTAGCACCTTGTTGTGCTCATTCCATTGGGGGGAGGAAGACTAAGAAAGATATTGTCATTTTTGTTAATGTCGTAATAATAAAAGTTATAAGACATTCCCTTGAATATCTTTTTACAATTTTTTGTGTGTTTAAATTTGACTCTTTAGAAGATTTAACTTACAATTCTACAATATAATTACAAGAAATTATATAAGGCAATATATATATA